GCTATAATGGAGCACCCAATTATTTTCATCATAAATGTAGGTCAGAGTTAGAAAATTAATTGTCTGTCTGTTTGACACTGATAACAGAAATTTTAAAGTCTCTATTTAAAGGTTTTTATTTGTCTAATGTGAAAATGTAGACAAATGTGATTTAGTCTGAGAATTAAAGTGTAGTGTCACGTTTAACACATTCACTGCATACACAAAAGCTCTTCCAGTTTAAGACTCTTAGGAGACTCAAATCCCTGGAAGGGCTGTGTCAAAAAGGGCATCCGGTATAAAAATCTGTGCCAAATCAAATATGTGCATCCATCCACTGTGCCGAGTCTTTTCTTATAAGGAAGCAACTGAAAGAAGCATTAATTAATTTTAATGCCTGAACTTCAGCTTGGTGCCATGATTTCAACGGAGCCCAGTGTTCTGGAGGCATGTGGAGGCTTTATCCCTGATCCAGTGGATCTGAAGACACTCCTTCTACACCAGCAGGCCAAAGGACTTCTTGGTGTTAAAGGTATACTTTAGGCTGTGTAAAGATTGAATTTTTTTTATTATTATTCCTTTTTTATCAAAATATAACAACAGATATATGGGTGTCTAAGCTTGTTGGTATTATAACTTGTTCAGTTCAATTTAAAAAATGTGCACTTCTTTTTGTGCAGCCACTATCTCGTCTTCAGTGGGCGACTGTGTCCTCTCTTCACTTGCCTTCCGGCCCAAACCTGTTGATCCACCACCAGAATCTCCAAAAACAGTAGAGGTCACACCTAAAGAAACAAACCAAACTTCGGTCAGTGACACCGAAGACGTGGCTGTAATTTCAGATGACCCTGACAGCCCAGCAGTCAACATTTACAGTCCTCCGCTCAGGGGGCGGTATGATTTTAAAACACTTTATAGCTCTGCATCAAAGGAAAGGAGTGTCACACCAGCAGCTCAAAAGGAGAATTTGGTGCAGAAAGAGAGTTCTGCACAAGAACAGCCTGCTCCAACTCCGCAGAGCAAAGAGAATAATGCACCCCAACCGCCACCATCAGAAGCAGAGAAACCAGCACCACAGCCACTGCCTTTGAAATCAATCCCTTTCAGGGTAGTTACGGTGCCGTGCAAAACTGCTCCCACTTTACCAAATGCAGATGCGGGAATAAAAGATGGCCAGAAGCCCCAGACTCAGCGTGTCACTTTGCATCAGTGGGTGTCACAGATAGCCTCCAACTCTCTGTCACTCCCTGCCCTGCCACCTCTTCCTCCACCCAGGCTGAGTGCTGGAGATGACGCAAGGCCAAGCATAAGAAGAAAAAAGCAATTTAGGCCTCTGGGCGACAGGTTTACTTGCAGTGTGTGTGATAAGAGCTTCCCCTATCAGTCCAAGCTGATGGACCACGAACGAATTCATACAGGAGAGAAGCCTTTCCTCTGCTCAGCATGCAACAAAAGTTTCCGAACACAGGCTTTCCTCAACAACCACCTCAAGACCCACAACGCATCTCGTCCTTACGCCTGTGGGCAGTGCGGGAAGTGTTTCACAAAACTCCAGAGCCTGACGAAGCACATTCTCGCCCACAGTGGGCAAAAGCCGTTTTTTTGTAACATCTGCAACAAGGGTTTCACGCAGTCCACTTACTTCAAAAGACACATGGAGTGCCACACTAGCCAGATGACGTTTCCTTGCAAACACTGCAATAAAGTTTTTCCTACGGCTTTCAAGCTGTCGAACCACGAGCGCTGGCACACCAGAGATCGCCCTCACATGTGTGAGCGCTGCGGGAAGAGATTCCTCGTCCCCAGCCTGCTGAAGAGACACATGGGCTACCACATTGGCGACCGCCAGTATCTCTGTTCCCAGTGTGGAAAGACCTTTGTCTATTTGTCTGACCTGAAGAGACACCAGCAGGACCATGTCCCCAAAGCAAAGATCCCATGTCCTGTCTGCCAAAAGAAGTTCTCCAGCAAGTACTGCCTGAGGGTTCACCTGAGGATCCACACCAGAGAAAGACCCTACCGGTGCACTATATGTGAAAAGACCTTCACTCAGGTTGGAAATCTAAAGGTCCACATCAGGCTGCACACCAATGAGCGGCCCTTCAGCTGCGATGTGTGCGGGAAGACTTACAAGCTGGCATCCCACCTGAACGTCCACAAAAGGACACATACGTGCAAGAAACCCTGGACGTGCGACACATGCGGGAAGGGATTCTCTGTCCCCGGGCTTCTGAAGAAACACGAACAGCTGCACACAAGGGAAGCCAACCCTGATTTCTCCGGTAAGCGGAGGCACAGGGGTAAGCAAAAGAAGCTCTCCCTCAAGAGGAAGTTTGATGAGGAAGAGGAGGTCAGCGATGATTATTAACTGAAGAAACGCTGACATTTAAATAAGTGTTTTTAATGTTGAGGCACGGAGTCATTAAAGTGATGTTAGGAATCATTGACTCTACAGACCAGAGTTATAGTGTGCTATAATCAGTGCCTGACTAGCTGGAGCATCTTAATGAAGAATCCACTGTTTATGTTCTTAAAATAAGGCAATGAGACAAATTGACTTTAGGTGATGAAGTTAGCCAAAATGTCACATTATCTGGAAATTAAGGTAGCCAAGAGCATTTCTGATTGTGAATTAAAATGTTGTTAATCATTTTATGTAGAAAAAAAGTCATGTTCATTGATAAAAATGTTTTCCCAGCATCATGCTATCGAAGAGGCTATCTAAATATAGCAAACACTTAAGAGATGAGTATCATATAAACAATAAAAGTATTTCAGCGCATGTGACTGTAGATAAACTGCTGTGTAATAAAATGCTGTAGTGTTGCCACAAAACATTTTAACTTGTCCTATTCTTGTGTAAATTTTAGTAATTAAAACGACTTCCACCACATGCTTTTTTTTTTTAAATGAAACATGAACTGTAAGCCTTTCAAATAGTTTTAGTGATATAATTCATGTATTTGTGATTTAAAACTGATAGTTTTGTGTGTGTGTGTGTGTGTGTGTGTGTTCACGTAATATCAAGAAACATAGACAACCTTTATTTCATCTGTGCACAACCATTTAACCTTATGCAAATATGTGATGAGGTTGTTCTGTGAATTCCATTTTTGTTTATGTAACCCCCAAAGAAATATACCTACTCTCAGTATTTTTTGTGATGTTTTTCAGTAAAATAAATATTTGTGTGACAAATATCTCTCACTGGTGTATTTTGTTAAATTTTAATTCACGACAACAATATGCCCACCATACTGTCTTCTGAGTGTCCTGAATTTAGATAGCTTTAGTATGTAAATAACATGCTTTAAAAAACCAAAATAATTATAATAAAGAAATATGCCTCTGTTAGTGTATCTGAATATACAGGCAGCAGATTTATTATAGTTCTTACTAGTAGTGTTGAACTACTATACTAAGTATATATTATCCTTTTATTAGTTTCAGTATTGTTTTATATTCTTAGTGTAATATAGTTGGGGGGGGGGTTAAGAGATGCAGAATATGTTATTAAATGTAAGGGAAAATGGTAGAAGTATAACTAATGAGATTCCATATGCATAGAAGCAGTTTTAATATCCTAGTAACCATTATAGTAGTTTTATCTTTAAGGGCATTTTAAGGATTTCCTTTAAACAGCACTTCAAAATAATTGGCCAAGTATTCAAACAAGTATAAGAGTTACATTTTCTTTAAACAGTACTGTGCAAAAGGCTTGAGTACCCCTCATTGCTTTCAACAGGCTTTCTTGAGTTTTTTAAAGTGACTTTCAAAGTTTGGATATTGGCTGCATTTTCAGTCATTTTCCACAATTCTCTGACCTGACCATGTCTGACCATTGTCAAATGAGTTCTTCCATTAAGCCACTTCATCAATTCAAGTCATTCAAGCATCAAAATGCACCTAATTCAAGAGATGAACCAGTGTTGTATCTACACGTAACAGACACGTTAGCAAAGAAACAATTTTAAACTGAATTTTAGACACTCTAGCAGACTGTTACACAAACAAAACTTGTTCACCAAAACTGTGATTCCAATAGAGGTAATAACCAAACGCTTGGGATGTGTAAGCCTAAAGAACTATTCCTGAAGACTTCTTCAAGAAATTACAAGGCTTGCCTATGAGCGTTCAGACTGTGTCTGAAGTCTTTTTTTTTTTCAAATTATTATTAAATAACCAAGTATGTTTGCATATGTTGCAATAAATTGTTGCAACCGTTTCCCATTCACCTAGTAAAATGTAAAGAAATGCCACTCCTTTTTTAGTTTTCTGTTTTCTTTTATCCTGAGACAAATGTTTTTATGTGTATGTTAAAATGTTTTAAACCTAGTTTTATGTGACTGTATAGTAAGCCTTCTATTAAAGACAGTGGTCCAGGAACAGCTAGCTCGCTTTCTTGTAACCATTTGTACGACAGCACTGTAAAACCGCTTACCGGCTTTATATCGCCGGAACCATAACTAAAGAAACCGTCGGATTTTAAGTGTGCCACTTCCAACCAAATCGTAAAAATGATGCCGCTTCCACTTCATGGAAACACCCTGTCGTGGTGCCGTCCAGTATTGCCAACTCCTCAGTAAGCAAAATCACTATTGGCTGTCCTAAAAGTCGGTAGAACTCGCTAAATGACGTCATCGTCATCTAATTAGCATAATTGGTCATGCTAATGTAATTGTAACCTACACTGTTGGAGAAATAACATCGTTGAAGAGACATAAAGTCAGTAAAAAAAAACAACGAACTACAAATTAAATTTCTTTTAGAAATTATTGTTTTTTTTTAATGTAACAATTCCAACCCTGCTCCTTTTCCGGGCTTGGACCGGCAAAAGTGACCCGAAATAGGCACTCTGGTGGAGTTACTTTGTGTGTGTTTATAAGTAGTTTTAAACCTTGTGGTCCACAAAACAACATAACAGTAAAAGAAGAACTGACTGTGTTACAGTCAGTGCGGGAGCAGCGGCTTCGCTCATGCGCGAGTCATTTGCAGTTTGGACGCATAGGTGTGAACATCTCCTGCCCTGATAGCAGCTGGGGGAGGACTATCCTCGGCCTGTGAGCGCTTTGGCACGGGCGAGGTGCACCCGCTGCTTATTGAGAGTAAGAGCAATACGCGCTTTCACGCCAAAAAGTCGTCATAAATAAGTCTCCAATAACACCAGAAAAAGTCGCCAGATTTGTCGCTAGTCGCTTTTTAGAAAAAAGGTCGCTAAATATAGCGACAAAGTCGCTAGGTTGGCAACACTGGTCTCAGTTCAGTCCATAACTACGGGGCGGTTTCCGTCACCAATGTGGCACCTAACCGCGCATTTCCACTGGCCCAGGATGGCACGCCTCTGGTCCGCTATACGAGCCAAACCGTAATCAACCACTATCTCCGCCCTCAGCCGAGCCGTATCCAGGCAACGCTCTACTTCACTGGCTCCAATGAGGTGACGTCATTTAGGCGACAGGAGGAAGGAGCGCCATGTTGAAAAGAAAGAAGTGAAAACATTCCAGCTTCTCTTAGTTGCTCTGGATTTCTGAACTGCAAGGAAGGAGAGATCATGGAGCCGCTGGTGCACTGGTCTCATGAAGAGACCCGAGCGCTTATCGGTGTGTGGTCAAAGGAGAAAATCCAGCGTGACCTGGAGGAATCCTTCAGAAACGAGACCGTTTACAGGGAGATGTCAGGCAGGTTGGCTGCTCTGGGAATAAGCCGCTCTGCTAAACAGTGCAGAGCCAAGATAAAGAAACTTAAACAAGAATACAGAAACACGAGGAGACACGGTGAAAGGAGTGAGGCAGTCACAAAGACCTTCAGGTGGTATGATGCTATGGACACTATCATGGGTGACAAGAGTGCCCGGACACAGAGCAGAGAGCAGCCGTCTTCTTTGGTACTGGAAGTCATGGTTCCTGATGTGGAAGCAAGTAAGTTAGAGAGAGAAATAAATTAAATACAGATGCAAAGTACAGCAAATACTAACAGCAGTTAGATTATATATGGATTCTTGCTTCTCTTCTCTATTTTACTGTCTGTTTAGTTTGTTTTTGTATGTTATATTGTATTTTAGTTTACTGAGCTGTTGAACTTGATGCAAGCTGCACTGGCTGCCTTTTCACTTATTTTGAATCCAGACCTGACCATTTTCAGAGGAAAAGTTTTTTTCTTCATTTAATTTCCAAAAGAAGGCTTGCGTAAGAGAGTAAAAGGTGTGTTGAGGAATAAAGATGGTCATATCAAATATTGACTTTCAAGCACCTTAGAACTGTACAAACTCTGTTATGCCTTATATGGGGTGCCTGTAGCTCACGATGTATAGCTACTAATCTACTACTCTTTCTAATCATCAATCATCAGTCTGCATGCCAAATGTCTTTGGAGTAACCCCAAGTTGCTCTCCGATGCATCCATCGGACTATGAATGTGCGTGAATTTGAGAGAGAAGGCACTTACATAGAAAAACAAAGAAATTGAGGGTGGCTCAAGACTTTTGGACAGTACTGAATAACACATTAACTTCCCAGCTTTGCCAATTTTAATTAGTTATTTGTCTCTTTAAGGTCCACCCGCTGTAACAGACACCCCAGAAAGCTGTACGACATCCACCCATTCACTGCAACTCACTCTGCCCAGACCAGAAGCTTGTCCTGCAGGGACCCCACAAGTATCTTCTTTCTATTCTGTTCAGCTTCATGAATTTGATGGTCCTTCTACAAGCAATCCAGTCACCTCCACTGCTGTACAAACATCAAACAAAGGCAAGTAGTTATCAAACTAAACATATTTACAAGTAAGGCTGCTTTACTGCTTGAGTAAATAATTTTCTGTTACTTTCACAGACACCCCCTTGTGCTGTTGGTCGAGTAAAGAGGTCCAAGCATTGCTGACGCTTTGGGCAAACCCCGAGGTTCAACAGGAGCTTCTCCTCAACGTGAGAAATAATAAAGTTTACACTTGTCTCAGTTCCAAACTGGCATTGCTCGGTTTTAACAAAGCACCAAAGAAATGCAGGGAGAAGATCAAAAAGCTAAAGCAGGAGTACAAGAGGATCAAGAACGGCCAATACAGGGGTGGAAGCAGCAGTGTGTGGTTTGCCATTATGGATGAAGTCCTCAGTTCCCAGGCTCTCACAGCAAAGCGTTCACAGACAGTGCAGAATTCCTCTACAGTGCACTCCCTAGCTGTACAGGCCGTTGCCCTGGATGTGGATACAGATGGTAAGTTGGAAATAAACTACTATGAAATAACTCCTACCATTAAGAGTAGTTATTGACCTAACTGTGTCCTCATAACTATGGTTTTGACAAGTTATCTCTCAAATTGATTACTTTTAATTCTATAATAAATACTATTTTTGTGTTTCTTAGGTAAACATAAGTCATAATTCATGCACTTTTTTTTATTCTTAAATTTCTGTGCATTTTCAGATGAAACGCCGTGGTTGCCTGATGAAGTCCAAGTGCTGGTGACACTTTGGGCACAACCAAACATTCAGAAACAGCTTCTCACCGCAGCAAGCGATCAGGTTTTCACATACCTCAGCAGTGAGCTATCACTGGTGGGGTTTAACAAGACACCACGTCAGTGCAGCGTCAAAGTGAATGAGCTTAAAGAGGAGTACAAAAAAATTAAGCACATGGAGCCATATGGAGTTGTTAAAGGCGACTGGTTTGCTATTTTGGATAGTGTTTTTGATGCTGATGGAGCGACTTTGAAAGAGGTGAATTCATGCGCTGTGCAGAAAAAGCCTAAATCACCACAACATGAGCACGTGGATGGTAAGTTGTTTAAAACTTAATAATAAATGGTTTTGTGCAGAAAAAAATTTGGTGATCTGTTGCTATATTCTTTTTTTTTTTATTCCAGCAGATAAATTGCGGGCTGTTTGGACACCAGACGAAGTCAGAGTTCTGCTCAGTCGATGGGCAGAGGAAAGCGTCCAGGAGCAGCTTCGATCAAATCCGAGAAACAAGAGAGCCTTCGCTCAGCTGAGCTCCGAGCTCGCCACTCAGGGTTTTGATAAGACCACGAGTCAATGCAGGTCGAAAATAGCACTCCTGACACAAAAGTACAGAAGGATCAAAGCACAGGAAGACCCGGAAAAGCAAAAAAGCAGATGGTTTGCCATCATGGATAAAGTCCTCAGTCGCAGCAAGACAGAGACTGAAACTAAACCAGTCAGAGATTCACAGCGTGCATCTCTGCAGACATCACAGCAGAGCCTACCTGACACAGCAGAGGGTAAAATGAGCTCCTGTTTATTCACTTTACAGTGGCAGCTGCAGTAAACATGATGGGATGTGGGTCTCTGTGTGGAAGGGATTATCGCAGCCAAGATGACTAAATTTGCTGTAGCTCTCAGTAAAGTGAGTTACAGTACGATCAAATATTTGTGTTATTTTTACAATTAATAGTTTACGGATTAAATGACCTTCCACAACTGAAGACACCTCTTAAGCAAGATCAGCTCCACCTAAACTATGCAGGATCCATGAATAGAAACTCAACGCTGCATTCCTGCAAAGCATTCACCCTGTGAATTCCAAACAACCTTGTTGTAACACGGTAATAATTAAAAACAAGCCAGGGAGCAAATCTCAAAGCCCCCCCTGCTTTCATACACATCAACTAACCTTTTCTCAATCCACTAACTCCGCTTTCACTTCCTGCAATTTAAAACATGCTCTTTTTAGACTTTACAGACACAAAATAATAGCTTGACAATTAAATATGCCAATTTCGTTTACTTGTTAATTTAGATTTTTCAGTCTTTCTTATTCTCTCTGCAGGCTGCCGTTTGTCCGTCTCCTCGTTGTGCCTCCTGGTTCCAACTCTGCGACTGATGTGCGCCTTTGCCTGGCAGGTGGTTCAGTGTTGTAATGTGACGCAGTACAGAAAGGTGGAGGAGCTGGTGAAGTTAGTGACGGAGGTGGCTCCAGAGCTGCTGACAACCAGAGAGAGAGTGCAACTCCTACTCAGACTGAGAGCCAGGGTGAGAGGCCCACATTAGAGTATATTTTATGAATATTCAACAACAAACTAAGGGGGAAAAATACTCTATTAGTGTAGATCATTAATTAGCATTTGAAAATGTCTCTTTCAGCTTGTGCTGGAGTTGTGTCTCAGCGAGAACACGACTGACCTGCTGAATATCCAGCCCCACCTGAATGTCATCCGAGACCTCACCTTAAGCTGTGAACAGGAGGTAGGTTTCTCAGGTACAGTTTCACTCTGTATACATTTTATCTTCTTTCAGACTTTTAAAAACGTCCTTACCAAAAAATTGAGCACAAATGATGAAAATAGGTTGGCCTCCAGCTCTTTGCTGAAAGCCTTGAGCTTTTAGTAACTTTGAGCAACATGTTTTTTAAATCAAAAACAATCGTGTTTCTCAAATTAGTGAAATATGAAAATAAGCAAACAACAAAG